AGAGAGAGAGAGAGAGAGAGAGAGAGAGAGAGAGAGAGAGAGAGATGGAGATGGAAAAGAACTTGCAATGATATCCGGAATGGCTTTGTTGGTTCTACAGGTCCTTCTGGAGGGCATTATCAATAACACAAATGGATCAGTTTTCATGGTAATGCTTTTTCACTCTCTCTCTCTTTTAAAATTACCCTTATGGATCAGTTTTCATGGTAATTTTTTTTCACTCTGTCTCTTTAGTAGAGTTTTACCCTTTCAGCCATCATGCTGAGAGCATCCTCACACTAGAACTTTTTGGACTAGGCTCTGGAATCTGGATGTAATTGTGGTCAGATACATCCAGGTCAATACATCAGTTTTCATGGTAACTTTTTTTCACACTGTCTCCTTACAATTTCCATGTTTTTTTTGTACTTTTTTTTTTTCACTGAGTCTTTTTTACCGTTGCGTACCTTCTAGCCGAGTCGGAATTCTGAGAAAAAAAAAAACAAATTTAATGAAATTTTAATCTGATTCAGAAGGACAACATTTTTTTTTTTTTTTTACATTTTTTCTTATAAATATTACAATGCAGAAATTACAAAGTTCAGACTCCGAGTCTATTTTGTCTTATTCATACCCAGAGGCCCGTCGGTACCTGTGGCAAGGTCTTACTTAACCCGAATGCGTTTCTGGCCGTTGTTCATTTACTAAATCTATGGCCAAGAAGAGAGACTCAATTTATTGAATCTGGCCTTAATCACGGCTGTATACATCCAGCAAAATCCTAGTAGCCCCTGTGGCAAGGTTTTGCTTACCCCAACTCTGCGTTTCAGCACTATCGTTTACTAAATCTAAGGTAGAGAAAGGAGAAGTCCTGGGGCAGGCTCTTCCTTTATTTTATTGAATCCGTCTGTAATCAAGGTCAGATACATCCCGGAAAATCCTTGGGCAAGGTCTTACTTCCCACGACTCAAGTGGGACCTTGCCCCTGCTGTGAAAATCATCAGATTCCATTGCTGGGTTCTCAGAGTGTACTCAAACTAGTATCTGGACGTAATTGCAGATACTATCCAGGACGGTCCTAGTCTGAGTATGCTCTCAATTCCTCATTGAACGGTCCTAGTCTGAGTATGCTCTCAATTCCTCATTGAGCCAAAAATTCTAATCTTCAGAGTGTACTGACACTACTAATTGAAAATTCGTCCTTCCTTCCTTCCCCTCCCTCTCCCCTGATCCTCTCCTTTTGCCCCATTGCCCGCCCTTCCCCCCATGCCGCATGGTTCTGCCCTCTCTCTCTCTCTCTCTCTCTCTCTCTCTCTCTCTCTCTCTCTCTCTCTCTCTCTCTCTCTCTCTCTCTCTCTCTNCTCTCTCTCTCTCTCTCTCTCTCTCTCTCTCTCTCTCTCTCTCTCTCTCTCTCTCTCTCTCTCTCTCTCTCTCTCCTCTCTGTCTGTGATGTTATCTGACAGCAATTACAGAGTTTTGTAGGTGTATGTATCTGACTGCAATTACGTCATAGGGTCAGTCGAAAAAGGCCTACCGTCTTCATCCAAAGAGATGCATGGTCATTATCGCTGTATCTAGACTCAAATATGTGCCAAATTCAGCTATAATTACCATGCATAATCACTTATTCATTCAGACCTAAATTCCACATAATTGAAGTGTTTGAAACATTTGGCCTTTTTTTCTGATAGACTGCGACTATCCTGGAGTTTTTCCAAGCAGACTCTTTTCTTCCCCCCCCCAACAGATTCTGCTTTTATCTGACCATATTCAATGTTTATTTATTTATTTTTTTCTTGTTCACTTTTTGTTTGTGCTTATGCTGCTATGGTGAAGGACCCCTCAACCCACAAAGCTAAAGTAGTAGGCAGTGCAACGGAGTCCGCAATTCTGAAGTGGGGCTTAAGGATAACGGAAGCGGCGTCATCGGAACGAACCAAGGCAAGTGCCCAAAAACAAAAGGGATATCTTTGTAATAAAAGCTAATGATTCTTCCAAGAAAAAAAAGAAGAAGAAGAAGAAGAAGGGAAAAAAAAAAAAAAAGGAAAGGCAAGTTCGGCGACTTTCTGTAAGGGACGCAGGGCCCGCTTCCCGGCTTGGACATTAATAAAGATTGATCTTGTTTAAAAAAATTAAAAGAAGAAGAAGAAGAAGAAAATATTAAATTTTATTATTATTATTATTTTCATATTTTTACTATTTAGTATTTACTTTGTTTTTAAACTACACTCACCCTCGTACGAGTATGAGTTGTTACTCCTTACTCGTACGCTACTTGTACGCTAGGGCCCGTACGAGTTTTTTTTTTTTTTTTTAAGTTTTTTTTTTTTAATCTCAAATTATAATAAGAATCTGAAGATGATGCTCAGCCAAATTTTGCTTGTATTGTGCTGTTGCATCACTTTTTTTTTTTCGGATTTTTTTGATGACGTTTGTTTGTTTGTTTGTTTTGTAAGGGGGCCTACAAGATGTACAGGTTCCCGTACAGATATTACCTGTACGTGTCGTACGGAAAGGCCCCGTACGTGTACGCTCGGTAACGTAGAACTACAGTATGTTCTTCCCTCAAATTCTTTCGCCTTTCACTACCTACCTACTCATAAGGCTATGTTGAGGGGACCCCTACAAGGATAGCTATTAGCTACCTCTCACGGTGAAGGGGATCATATTGCATGTTGCCCCTTGCCCTAGTGGTTAAACCACCAGTACTCGGCCTAGCTATCAATGTCGAGCCGGAATATGCCCTGTGCGCTGTTTCGCGCCGACGCTGCCAAACATTGCAGTTCGGTCAGCCGAGCCTCCGAAACTTTCGTAGGTGACGAGTTGCATTTTCAGCAAGGCTGGGGCGGTGTACCGGCGGTTTCAAGAACCTCATGCTTCTGGCTCCTTTTCCATTCTAGGGAGCATCAGTCCGGTTTCTATTCCACTGGCGCCGGTCCGGCAGCAAGTCAAAAGAAGTTAACATAAAGAAGTCACGCACATTCTTCCCTTTACTGTGGAAAAGCCTGCGAGACAACCCAAAAAAAAGAAAAAAGAAAAAAAAGATAACTTCCAGGGCGGAAGGATGTACCACCCCATACCCCAGGGCCATGCGTTATCGCATTGAGAGAACGACAACTCGCCTGAGGATGAGATTGTTCGTTCGCAGACAGAGGCAGCTGATGCAACAAGTGATGGATGCACCTGATTGTGTGTCGTTATCGGAATACATTGTGCAATTCTGCTGCGCCATGGCATCGGGTGTGATCCTGTGGGCGACGCCGAGACGGTGGATGAGGAGAAGTATGGGAGAGATATGGAAGGATCTCCGACAGGTTGATGACACGGCGGAGGGCTACTACAAGGAGAAGTTGCGGAGTGGAGTAGTCAATGGCGAGCGTCGGCTGTCTGCTGGAGGTTTCCCACCTGTCCATCGTCGTCTTCCTCACCATTCACTGCGCTCAGTGTTTCTATCTGCTGCCAGGACCCCACACAACGACTCACACGTGGAACAACACGACAAGGGGCAGGAGAAGAGTGGCCAGCAGCAGGAGCGGGAACCGGGGGAGGACGTCTGCCATGAATCGCAGCATGCGAGGCATGTACCAAACAAAGCTTGCATCAATGCGCCCGACAATAGCTGACAAAACACGCTAGGCAGATGACTGCAATTGACCAACAGTGCTTCAACGTCGCTTGTCGGACACCACGGTCGACGACGTGCGCATGAAAAACCCTGCGCCGTGCAGCTGAAGAACCACCCCCACGCATTTCCACGGTAACGGTGGAAGGCCGTTGGGGCCCCGTCGGGTACTGGAGGCTGGCGATGTCCGCCCAATGGACCACGGACGACCTGTGCACCAACATCGACTCCAAATTTTCCTGTCGGCACTCGCTCCAGAACACTCCGTCAATCACGGCTCCTTGAACCCAAGGGACCTCGTGAGAACCCCTTGAATCCAAGGACGTTTTGCCTGGGGATTCTGAGGAATCCAAGGAAATCTCTCGGGAGCGTTTTCACATTCATTCAAGCAATTTGGTGACTTAGGACGCGGTGTAACGATGCCGATTTCCTAAAATCGGATTTCCAAGGAGGGTCTAACGAGGCCCTTACTTTAGCTTTATATCTACTTCTACATCACCAGTACTGCAGGGGGTCTTCTTAGGTCCCCTCTGGTGCAAATGCATATGGACCCACGTGACACCCAGATTCAGTCTCCGCGTTAATGCCTAAACACGTGGTAGGTACTGGTGGTCTAATTACGTCCGTTCCTAAATGCTTGACGAAAGCCCGTGTGATGTCATAGCGATAACTTGCTTGCTGACTCGGAGGCCTTGTCTAGCCTGTTCTAAAGCCCAGGTGCTGTCGTAGCTTTAACTTGATTGCTGAGGCCTTGTCGAGCCTGTTCCTCTCAGTCCCTCGACTGTCAGATTCTCCTTAAGTGCCAGAACTGCAGACTTGGCCTTCCGAAACTTTATCCAATTCCGTTGCGTCTATCTGAAAAGCCTAGCCGATTCAAGTAGTAATGTTAAACCGCCAGGACACAGCCCCAGCCTTGCTGGAAAGAAAACTCGCCGCCTACGGGAATTTCGGAGGCCCAGCGCCGTAGATAAAGTGCCCGCGGCCGATAGCTGGATGACCTACCAGTTGTCCTGGTGTGTTGTCGGGACTGCAACTTTCGTGGGCCTGCAACGCGATGGGGGCCGTAGATTCAAAACCTGAACGGTGGAGGAGCCCCCGAACGGCTCGGCATGTTAACAAGAACGCCCCGCGGCCGCATTCTGGTAGAGGTACTGTTTTTTTTTTTTTTTTTTTCAAGTCCATGGTGTTGTAGAGGGCAGTCACCGAGGACTCAGTGATCACCTGAAGCAGTAGGCCGTGGGTGTCCTGGAATATGAGACCACCTCCCATTCCATCCTCACGTCAATACTCCTAGCGCACCCCCTATCCCACTATCCTACCTCAGTGTGACCAGCACTCAGGACCATTACCCTACCAATGGGCAGGTGAGCTTCGGACGCCAGGCCCAGACAATTTACTACAGGCCCTAAGAGACTCTGGGCCCTAGGTTTCAGACAGGGTAGCACCCATTGAGGTACTGGTGGTGTAAGTGCTTGGGTGCACATACTTTGGAACATGCTAATAGCTCTGTCGTAGAGATATCTAGTGCTGTTTGGATTCTATCTACCAGCATGGCCTGCATCCTTCAGTCCGGTGGTTGACTCGGCTGGCTGGTCTCTCTGTCTATGTGTTCCTTAATCTCTTTACGGGGTCTACCCTAGGTTCTTTTCGTTGTCCTGCCCTTAAACCATAACCACCCTAACCCCTGGACACCACTGCTCTAAAGGATCTTATTTCTTCTTCCTTTTCTACTGTCTCCCTTTCACTAGGTTGTCTGTAACAGTTCTCGAGTGTTGGTTTCTTTTCCTAAAAAGGACTGTTAGTCAGCTGGTTACCCATGCTTATAATTTGGCAACTTATCTCTTCTGCGTCCCCAACAGCTGCGTTCTTCCAAGTTTTTTGTCTTTTTTTTTCTTTTTTCCTTTTTTTCTAGCACTAGTACCTTTCCCGTGTGGGAAAATAGGGAAAACTGGCAGTTTTCCCAAACTCCTGAATCTTCGGAGGTCGGGTCCAACGACGACTGCCTTTGATAAATCCGATCGGCGGCCGTCATGTCGTTTCTGCCTCTGGAAAGGTCGGACGCCTACCCGAGGCCCGCTATTTTCCCAGGCGGGAAAGGTCATTTTTATTAGCATATTGAAAATTGAGGCCGGGGACCTCACAATTCCACCCAGGGTTATCTTGGCAGGATTAGCCAGTTTCACTTTATATCTTGACCATGCCCAGTACGACATCGAGCCTTTGGCTAAGTTGACACTCCGTCGGCTGAGGATCGTTACCTGGCACCTCCACCCAAAAAAAAAAAAAAAAAAAAAGAAGAAAGACACTCCGTCGGCGTCCTATGTGCCTCCTACTCCTCCCAGCTAATCTAGCGTTCGGCTGTCCTTGAGGCTCTAGAGTAAGCGAGGCTGTCTCTCCGGTTTCTAGTCTTACTTGGCTAAACCCTTGAGGCTTCAAGCAGTGTGTCTGTTGCTCCTTTCTCGAGTCTTTGTTGGTAAAACCCTAAACCCAGACCGTCAGTTCACTTCTACCTTGGTACCGTGCATCTCAGCAGGAGCTTAGGTTGATGCTAGACTCTTGTGTCGGGGCAGTCCCAGGGCGGCTTCCATGGGTCCGTCAGCGAGTTTCCATACTAGCTTTGGTCTAACTCCTTCTATGTAGCCCACCTGTCCTGTGCCCAGTCTGTCGTTGGAGAATTTGTCTAAGATCTCTTGTTTCTTTGTGGGGTCATCCTTTTTTTTTTTTTTAACAACCCGAGGTTATGCCAGGTGTGCTGATAAGAGCAGGCACCACTGGCACTCTCGGGGTGGCTCCATCTATTGGTGGGGAGCAGCACCTGCCAGAAACCGGGTCCAGCGTCCCATTGTACATACAAAACGAGCTGCATGGTTGGCTTTTGTTGTTCACTGTACTGCTTGTCTGATGAGGCTGTGCATGTAGATCCCTTGGGTGAGATGCTGCTCGCAAAGAGGATTGGATTGGATTGCATGCATGAATCTGGAAGCGTTTGCGGAGAGGTGCATAAAATTCCAATTGAGCTGTTTTTTTTTTTTTTTTCTTCTGCATCTCGGTGCAGAACACATCCGGATTCACGCTAGTGGGACCTGTTGGTAGGTTTATCATTGTAGCCCAGTAATCGATCCGCAGCCAAACAGAATTGAACAGGTGACCTCGGCTGTACCAGCCGGATGCCTTTACCACTGCAACAGTGACCCAGTGTTCAGTTGGAAACTGAAGCCATACCGGTCGTGACATTCAGCCCACCCCAGCACTGTTGCAGCAAGGACTTACTCGTCAACTCGTGACATCCATGAGATCTTCCGTAGGCAGCAGCATCCACACAGAATCCAAGACCTTCCGCAATTGCCGATCAGCATCCCATACACCAAACTCCAGGTGAACATCCCCTGGCTGGTTAATGGGCTCGTACCTGTTGGTAGGTTTATCCTTGTAGCCCAGTATTACTGTAATCGATCCTCAGCCAAACGGAATTCCGCAGCCAAACAGAATGATCGAACCATATGTCATTCTTCGAGAAACGAACTCCCCAAATACGCTGTGAAAACATTCATAGTAATTTTCATACACTTGTACACAATCAACAAAAACACCTATCCAGCCCTCTCTCTTCCTGACGAAAGATACCCGCCATTGGCAAAATACACTCACTGACATAAAGAGTCAGAAGAGTAGAGTCAAGGACAAGTCATCCCCTCCCCATAAGTTAACGCTTGACAATGCGAAAAGAACTGTGTAAACCACCAGCACTTGGTCCGGCTATTGTCCGCAGAAAGAAAAAAAAAAAGTCTAAGAGTAGAACCGTTTCTTGTCGAATGAATTTGGGCGCTCCTGTAGTGGCCCATACGTTTCCTAAAACCGTCGCTTGTTTACGGGCACTACTTTAGGAAGTACTGGTGTTTTAATAAGAAAGAAAAAAAAAGTAAACATCGCTAAACAACAAGACAAATGAATAACTGTTGTCTGTGAACCTTGGCTCTGCCAATCCTGTGAATCGGTAGTCGGAGTATCTGGCAAGGGCACCGTGTTCACGGTCGTCCACAGGGCTTCGGCGCTGGCCCATAGCTGTCATGCTTTCGGAGAATGCAGAAGGGAATGAGACAGGTCCTCCTGAACACCGTCGTCACAGATTGCACAGAGGTCACCAAACTCCCGCCTGGCGAGAGTAACGGAACAGAGGGGTACTCTGAGAAGGACCAAACAAGCATAGAAGTAGTTAGCCCGCCCATGACAAAAAACTTGAATTTCGACGAGCAGCAGGTGACAGTGGGGCTAGAATTCTTTTCGAGGGCCTCTGACCAGGTCGTAGTGGCAATGGATACTCTGTACTTGGTCATCTTGTTGTTACGGGGACTGCCCGTGGAGGGTTTAGGGTTTGGATGGCGTAACCTTAGCCTCACACTCTCTGGGATCTTCCGTATTTCAAATCTGTGCAGGCTGGATATCGGACGTGGGGCGCGTCTCCCTACGGTTGTTGCTCCCGACCAATGGATTGGAAATCTTCTTTGAAAAAACTTAGGCTCTTGCAAACTGGTTGTTTTTTTTTTGTTTTTTTTTTTTTGAATACTGAAAACCGGCTCCACCTCTAGGAGAGGAGGTGACAAGGAAAAAAAAAAAAGAAAAAAAAAGGCTCTTGTGAACTGGTGTTTTTTTTTTCCTAAGAAAACAGAATGAAAGAAGGGAAAGAGGGATGGACACATTGTGAAATTCAGTGATGTGTTTTTTTTTTTTACTTTTCCAAATTTGTTTTTTTGTTCTTGTTTTTGCTTTTGCTTTTGCAACTTTCTATCTTCCTTCATGATCACAGAGTGGAACTTTCTTAACGGATATGAAAGCGACAATTCTGAAAGTCGAGACTTTTAGTTCCGCGAAAAAGCGCGCCGGAGTTGTTGCACAGGTGGGTCATGTATGAGATGATAATCCATGATAAAACTCCATCCTTTCCTTTTTTTTTTTTTCTTTTTTTTTTTTTTTTTTTTTTTCAACCTTTTTTTTTTTTTTTTTTTTTTTTTTTTTTTTTTTTTTTTTTTTTTTTTTTTTTTTTTAATTACCTTTCTTTTTCCACCAGTGGC